GGCGGCGGCTGAGTCTGCTGCGGGGGCTGCTGCTGCGGGGGCGGCGGGGCCTGCTGGGGAGGCTGCATCAGCGGGTGCCTCGCGCCTACGCCCGGCTCCAAGCCCACGGGCATCTTGCGGGCCCCGCCGAACCTCTCGAAGAACACGCCGTGCTGCTGTTGCTGCTGCTGCTGTTGCTGCTGCTGCTGCTGCTGCTGCTGAGCGTGCATTTTGGACAAACCCACCATGCCCGCGGCTCTGGGCATGGCCGAGGCACCCGGGAAAGAGCCCCCGGGAACCTGGCGACCCGCCGCATAATGAGGCAGCTGCCCCTCGGAGTCGGAAGGCGAAAACATGTCGAAATGTCCCGAGGGCGCCTCGCCCGGGTAATTGTATTCCAGAGAGTCGACGGCTCCTTGGTTCGCCACCCTCCGGTTCTCCAGGCTGTGGGAATCAGAGCCGCTGGAGGCGGGCAGGCCGTGGAAGGAGGCGGCTCGGTTAGGGCTCTGATCCAGCGGCAGGCATGGGGCAGGCACGGCGTGGCCTGAGGCGCCCGAACTGTGGAAGTCCGGGAGGTTCCCGGGTCGCTGCGGACCGAAGCTCTCAGGCCCCTGGCTCTCCGCCATGTGATCATAACCCTCGGCGAAGGGCGGCTGGCTGCCCAGGCCGCCGGCGCCGCCGTAGCCGAGCAGGCGACCCCCGTGCAGGCACGAGGCCCCTGGGTCCGGGCCACCAAAGTTGCCCCCGAAGTGAGGGTGATGTTGGTGGGGGTGGTGGCCTCCCGGGTGGCCGTGGTGCGGCTGCTGGCCTCCGAAGAATCCGTGCACCGGCTGCGCCTGCAGCCCCCCCGCGTGCAACTCCGAGTGGCCGCGCGAGTGGAAGCCGTAAGGCTCCATGTTCATGCCCAAGATCGGGGGCTCGCCCAGCGCGCTCATGGCGGGGTCCACGGGGCCAGGGGGTCCCCCCGCATGGAAAGCCGGGGCCTTAAAGTGGGTGTTCATGCTTAGTCCGGCCTCGTTAAAGTTCCTCTCGCCCTGGCCAGCGTTCCTGCTGTTGATCTGGGGCTCGAATTGGTCCAGCCCAAACATACTTGGCGGGGGGTGGGGGAATCAGTAGGGCATGACAGCCTGCTCTCCGCCGCGCGCCGCCGGCCAGCTACTCGTTCCGGCCCTGGGTCGGGCGCTCCGGGACGCTCAGCACCGCGGGGGCGCAGCGCGCACCGCCGCCTCTCCTGGCCTGTGGAGGCTGGGGGCTATCAGCTCCTCTCCCGAAGCTTTGGCTCTGCCCCGCACCGGCCTCTCACATCTTGCTGCGCCGCGGGGCCTCCAGGAGCCGCGTTGGAGGGCCCATGCCCCAGGCAGTTGGCACAGCCGCGGGTGGGTTTGCGGGGAGGGAACAGAGCTGCAGGCGAGTGGAGACAAAAAGTTAAGTGGGGGTTAGGAGGCGGGAAGGAGGCAGGGAAAGCAGAGCGATCACCTTCTCAAGTCCGATCGGGTCGGGTGGGGAGCCCCAGGACGCCGCCCGAAGCCTCTCGGAGTCCGTAGCGGAGCTGCTAAGGGGCCGGGCAAGGAGACCCTTTAAAGCCGTGGCTGGCGACCGGGCGCGGACAGAGCGGTCCCTCCCCCCTCCCCCCGGAGTCCCCGCGCTCCGTAGCTCGAGCCTCTGCCAAACACGATCCGCTCGCACAGTCCCCGTCGGCCCCGAGCAAGCGGCTACTGTTTCTTCAGCGGGTCGGAGGACTGGAGGCTCCGCTCGACATCACCGGCGCTGGCCCCAGAGCCGAGAGCGCAGCGGAGCTGGGGAGGCGGCGGGCACCCAGGGTTGGAGCCGAGGGCTTGGGGGAAGACACGGTTCCCCTGCTCCGTGGCCGGTGCGCTGCACCCCGGCGCGCCGCACCCCCGCGCGCCGCTTCGCTGCCAGGTCAGCCGCCTGCCGCTTGGGTCCTTCGCGGTTTGGTCTCTGAGTTTGCTGGGGTCCCTGCGCCCGGCTCCAGGCACGGACAGACAGCGAGACAAGAGGTTGGGTCTCTCCAAGGCTCGGGTTCCCTGCCTCCGCGCCGAGGTGCTTCGCAAGTCCCCCTCGGACCCGGGGAGGGGGGCGTACGCGGGTTGGGGGGACTACGCCGGGCGAGCCGACTAAGGCGTTCCCGCTGAGCTCTCGGAGCCCGGAATGGGGGGCGGGGGCAGCTCTGGGGGGTCCGCGCACCCCTCTCCTGGCTAGTGGGAGGGGGCTCTGCGTGGGGCGTTCCGAGGGTCTCAGCTCCCCTCTCTGTGTCTGCCTCTAGCCCAGCGCCGAGAGAAGCAGCAACAAGTTTTGCATTTCAGCAATCAATTTCAGCCATTACATTTGCACCAATCAGCGCAGCCCGAGCTCCGGGTCCGGGGCGGGGCTCGCTCTTAAGGTGGTCCTGGGTGCTGGCTGCTGAGGCCCCCGCTCCGTACCCGCACTTGGGCAACTCCGGGGTCCCCCGCGCGGGTCTCGCCTGGGGGTCCGGCGCCAGCGCGCTGGGGGCGCGCCCTGGCCTCCCGGCGCGTCAGGGTGGAGAGGGCGCAGGCTTAGAATGGCGGGAGCTTGGCTTTGTTCACCCCCTTTCCTATTCACACAGTTACCAACTCCCCACCCCCAACTGAAGCGAGACCTGCGGGGTGGGCAGGGGGCGGGGAGGTGGGCGGTAAGCGGTGCGGGGCGCTCAGACAATGGGGTCGCCAGGCAAAGCTCCTGGACTCGCCACGTAAAGTCACTAAGTATCCACGGTGCTTCAGCCTGAGGAGAGCCCTTGGCTCTCCACCGCCGTCTGCTTACTAGTGGCGCCCGACTTATCCGTCCCTCGGATTTTCCTGGAGGTGAAAGCAGACTGGGAACCCCGAAGTTAGGGATCTCCTCCAGAGGCCGGGGCTCTTGCTCGCTCCTCCCTCACTAGGGCACGCACAATTGTTCCCTAATCCCACAGCTTGGGGTTCCCAGTTCTCAGTCGCTGGCTTCCGCGGGTGAGAGCCATGACCACTCGGTCGATGTGTGGGGGGCACTTTGGCTAAGTCCTGCGCAGAGCCGCGAAGCAGCCAGGAGCCCAGGGAAGACCTGCGCGCCGAGGACGCACGGGCCAGGTGGAGCACCCCGCTCTGGCACCCCGGCCCGGGCCCGGGCCCTCGGTGGGCGCGAGGTTGACCTCCTTGAAGAGATCAATTAAACTGAAGAGGCCAAGGAACGGAATTGGGTTGTGATACTAAAATCAATAGGAGTAATTTAATATCTGCCCTGCTCTTTATGAAATATTTATCCCAATAATCTTAGTTAAAATGTTTAGATCTTCCTGATCCCCACTGAGGCTGAAGTCTGTCTTGCGATTGGAAGCTGGAAGTTCGAGGTGATGGAGGGTAGAGGGGGTGTTTATCCTGTGTGCCTGCCTGTGTGTGTTTTCCTCCCTGAAGTGTGTGTAGGGAAGGAAGGGGGGGAGGGCCTTTAATTTTTTCCTTGCTGTAAAATAGCGCGAGGCAATTTTGTGAGCCGACCAGCATTCTTAGGAGAAGGGGAGAGAGAAAAAGAACTTTCTTTGAAGTGCCCCTGATATCGCTATTAAATCTAAATAAAATTAAGCATGGTGTATAAAAATGCCTTTTCCCCCCACAAAAGAAAGTGTTTATCGCCCGAGTCTGTCTAGCGTTTGCTAAATTACGCATGAAATCTGAAATGAAATAAACGTTATAATAAAACCAACCCCTGAGCCCTTTTTATTTAAAAACCTCAGATTAAGCACTCCACGAACGCGGGAGGGAGTTAAAAAGTTACCACTTCGTGCAGGCGGATTCATTGCTCCCCGGAGTTGCTGCTGGGAAGACAGATGCTGGATTTTTCAGAAATGCTGGGGAAAGGGCTCGACTTAGGGCAAGAGGATGCAGGAAACGGAATCTCAGGGAACTCCAGAAGAAAATGACACCCACCCCCCAAAAGAAGAATAAAAATAAAAACCAAACAATAAAAACGTGCAACTTTAAAACTGAGAGAGCTGAAGCAAGCTCAGATCCAAGGTCCTTCGTGGGACCTCCCTGTTGTGGATGTCGACAGATATTTTTTTTCTTTTTGAAATTAAAAATGAAAATTACCCCCACCAAAAATGGGGTCCATAAATAAGCATGGAGAAGTATTTGTACAGGGCGGTGGAGTTTTAAAAGGATTTTTCTGCAGGATCAGGTTGTTGGTCTGTGATTAAATATTGATTTTGTGTAATTAGTTTTCATGTGAACTATCCTCTTGCTGATAGCTTAGAGGTTTCAGAACTAGAAAAGAAATGGAATTGGACATGGAAATTATTACTTAGCAAAGTGACAGGGAAGTGAGAGACTGAAAAAAGAGTGAGGCTTGGCTGATTTAGGCACAAAGAAATAAAGGGCCTGGGTAGGCCTCCAGCAACACCTCCCACCCACAAGGCCCCAGGCCACAGCCTGGGAGACACTAAGCCTCTTAGGCTGGAAGGGGACCAGTAGGGGGACCGGTTGCCAGGAGGAGGACCCCTGTATGGGCAAAAGCCTGTGCAAAGTGCATGACACCTGGTCACCTAACTGGTCCACTGTGGTTGGTTCTGGGTTAGGAGTATCTTAAGAGGCACCTATGTGAGGAGCCTTATGTCCCGCTGTGTGTCTAGAGGGAAGAGGGAAAGTTGGGACCTGTCTAGAGCCCTGGGTGGGCCAGGGCAGTGGGAAGAATGGCCCACAGACCAGCAGTCTGGGGAGACCCCTGTTGGGATGTGCTCTCTCCTGAGGCATGACTTCACACTGCGCTGGGTGGGGGTCCCCTGAACACCTGGGCAGGTTTCCTGTGGAATAATTCTGTGCACTCCAGGGAGGGGTGTGTGGGAGTTTGTTTCTGGGGTCGTTTCCAAGAGTTCAGTCTACAAGGTGTGTGAGTGTCTGAAAGAAGGGTGTGTTTGGTTGGGCCCGGCTGTGTTTCTGTTCAGGCTGTGTGTCTGGGTCGCCTCTCCGTAACACTACAAATGTTGTGCGAGTCTGTGGCATGTGCCTGCATTTGTGTCTTCGCCTGTGTGGGGGTGGCAGGACATCTGCATGTGTTTGTGTGCGTGCCTGTGTGTGCGTGTGTTCCTGTGTCTCTGGGTGTCTCTGTGAGTGTCCCTGGGGGAGGAGCACGGTCTGTCCCCCAACCCTGTGCCTCTGTGTGCACGCCGCCGTGTTTGTCCCTGTGTGTGCAGCCGCCTCAAACCGCGTGCGCCTGCATCTCTGCTCACATGTGTCTGTTTTCTCTGCGAGTGTGAGAGCCAGTGCCCTGCCTGTGCCCATCTGCGCCCATGGACACGCGGTGTGTGAGCCCCCTTGGTGTGGGCGCCCCTGCATGTGCCTGTGTGCCCGCCAGGCCTGCGAGGGCCCGCCGTTTCTTCGGAACAGACACATTGCCCCCTAGCGCTCAGACGAATTCCAATTCCCGCCCGCCGGCACTGAGCCCGGAGCAGCAGGCGCCCCGGGGCCTTTTCCTTTCTCTGCCCCTTCCTTCGGCCCTCCCCTCTAGGGGCACGGAGTGTGCTGGCCCCAGTCCGAGGGGCCTCCTGGCAGGGGAAGGAGGAGACACGGCTGGACTGGGGCCCCAGAGCTGAAGGGGGTTGCTCCCAGCTTCCTGGGATGTCCCCGAGGGAATTACCTGGGGCTGAGAGCCTGACACACCTGAACCAGCCCAGGAGCTCCAGTCCAAAAGGGGAGCCCCGCTCAACAAAGGCACAAAACAACCTGCACTCATGCCTTTTACCCACCAGACACACAGCCTTCATGCTGGCCCAGCAGGCCCCCAACACCAGCGCGCGCACACACACACGCACTTATAGCCTCAGCCTTCTCCCCCCTAATCCTGTATCCTTTAGAGCTTGGACACCCGCAGACCAAGTCTCTCTGGCAGGCAGATTCCCCTAGGAGGCCTGGAGGGGAACCTACTTCCCCTGATGCCTGGGGTAGAGGGTCCCAGAATGACTCCCTCTCACGAATTAGTGGTAGAAAGGATATAAACTCTGGCATGACATACCCAGATTCAAATCTGGTCTTCACCGTTTACCATCTGGCTCCACCTTGGATGAAATCCTTTCTTTCTCCGAGCCTCAGTTTCCCTCATTGGAAAGGAGAATCACAGCCAGTTCATATGGAGCATAAGGATTGGAGACAATGTTTAAAAGTGGCACAGAGCGTGGCAGATGGCAGGCCTTGGTTAAATGGTAGCCTCTCTTATTACCATTATTATCATTATTTCTTCTGTGTTTGGACCCAGGGATGTGGAGAGCAGAACAATGATCCCAGAGAAATCGGGTTTCCTTGATTAAGTCAGCCCTGCCTCCCCAGGGATGGGATGACTCTCTCAGGTGGTCACCTCCACTTCTCCTACCCCACACTGTGCTGGTATAAATGGGTGCTGGTTGGCATCTGTCTAGGGAGCACCCAAGGCTGAAGCCTCTGGGGAAGGTCTAGCTATTGCTGGGGCAGAGGATAGGAGCTGCCTAGAGGTTGGAAAGGATGAGACCCTCATGGACTTGCCAGTTGCTAAGCAACAGCATCCCCTCCCTCTCTCTATGCACAATGCATTCTTATCTTTTGGGGGTCTCTCTTCCATCTGTCCATTGAATAAATGCACATTGAGTGCCTACTATGTGCTAGAGCTCAGGCTGGGAACTCAAGAAAAAAGTGGAAGACCCAATCCCAGCCCTGAGTCTGGTAAACCTAGTATTCTATTCTAACAGGAACATGTTATACACTATAGGGATAAAATAACTGTGCTGGGAGGGAGGAATAATAGGGAAGGGTTTCCAGAGGTGGGTTTTGTAGGTGGAATAGGAGTTTAATAACCAAATCAGGGTCAAGCAGAGGAATCAGGTTGAACGAGATATGGGAATATTCCAGCAACACTTGTTGTTTTTTAGAGTAAGATGGGGTGGGAGGTGGGGGGGGCAGGGTCTGAAGCTCCAGAGGTCAGCAGGGCCCAAATCGAGAGGACCACAAAGACAGGTGGGAAAATTTGGACATTTTTCTGGGGAGCCATGAAAGGGTTTTAAGCAAAGTCAAGTGATATAGTCAGAGGTGAGTTTAAAAATGTCCTCAGAGACCTGAGGGTTTCCCATTTCTTTGCCTTTCAAGGTGGTCCCAGAAGCTATCTCACTGGTTTTTCTGGAAACGGCTTGGGAGAGCTCAAGTCCTGAGTTTGTCCCTAAGCAGCCAGCACAGAGCAAGGCAGTGCCCACTGGCTCTCCCACTCAGGGCTGTTAGCACCGACAGGGTCCCTCCTGCCTCAGTGAATT